ACAAGAAGGCTGCATCTGAGCTTAGACAACTGCTGTCGAACTTACGCAATGAATCCCTTACTGCGTATCTGAGAAACTTAGACTCTAATTCCAGCAACGATGAATACAACCTATGGAGGGCGACTAAATACCTAAAGAAACCAGCTAAAAGAAACATAAATATTCGCAAAAGCAACGGAACTTGGTGTAGGTCTAATAATGAACAAGCGGAAGCATTTGCACAACATCTGCACTCCGTGTTTCAGCCAAACGATATAAATAATTATATAACAGAGACTGAAGTAGAAAAATTCCTTGAGTCACCCTGCCAAATGAGCTTGCCTATTAAAAGCATCAAATATGAAGAAGTTGTGACAGAAATCAAATGCTTGAACAATAAAAAAGCACCAAGCCCTGATCAAATAGACGGTATCACACTAAAAAGTTTACCACCACTGATCAAAGGCAGAACCAACGAGTAACTCTGCCACCGACAAGGCCATGAAGAAACTATAAGGAGGCCTCGTCGGTGGCAGAGTTACTCGCTGGTTCTGACTTTTATCAGTGCTCGTTTGCTTGTCGACGCGGAAAGTTGGTTGCCGTGTTTACCGTAAGTGCGCAAAAGAATGATTTGGTGCAGTTTATGCGGCAAGGTCGCGAAAGATGTGAAAGTGATTCATGTACCGAAATGTTTGGAGAAGAGAAAATTGTGGAAGCAAAGTCTGGACTGCAGCCTTACTGTGGCGTCGACAATTTGCGATTCACATTTCGATGCTTCTCAGTGGAAATCGGCAACAAAGAAGGGGCAGACATATAAAAGAAGGCGACTGAAATCTGATGCTGTTCCGCTGGGCGAGCCTGAAGCAAAATTTGTTAAATTAGGCTTCGCCAACTCGAGTACGCAAACAGAGTAAGCTAAACATGCTGAAATAAATATATATTAACTGTAAATGCTACAAATAATTTATGTGTAATGTAGGGACGCATTGATAAATCATACAGCACGTGTGGAGAACGAGAGCCTAAGGGGACAGATTCGTCTAATGCAGACGGAAATGAATTCTTTACGAGAGCAATTTGAGGACTATAAGGAATTGGAAATCAGTCTAAGAACAATTTTCACCGAGACCCAAATAAAGATTATGAAGAATAGAGGCAATCATCTATATAGAAAAGGATTTCCTTTGGCGAGTCGTGCAAGATTATACAGATGGTATGTCGATGTTAAAATCAGTACAGGTACCCTTGATGTCGTCATAGATGTAATGGAAAAAGAAGAAATGCCAGTAGAGGATAAGCTATGCGTTTTGTTCTTCGATGAAATGAAGGTTACTGCTGCTTTCGAGTATGACAGCAAAGCGGATGTTGTCTATGAGCCTAGCAAATATGTTTAACTGGCCATAGTTCTTGGCTTGAAAAAGTCTTGGAAGCAGCCAGTATTCTTCGATTTCAATACTCGGATGGATGTAGATACACTGCATTCAATAATACGCAAACTGCACAAGAGATGGTATCCCATAGAAGCTATTGTCTCTGATTTGGGCTCCGGAAATCAAAGATTATGGAGAGAGCTTGGCAAAACGGAAAGTAAGTTTGTTATACGAATGAAAAAGATAATTAAAGAGATATATGAAAACATTTTTTTCAGAAAAGACCTGGTTTAGCCATCCAGCGGATGAAAATTTGAAAATATTCGTTCTTTCGGACACTCCACTCTGATAAAGTTGGTCCGGAACCACTATGTCGACTCCGGTTTAATCATCAACGGAAAGAAATTGACTAAGAGGACAGTACAGCAGACAATTAGTCTCTGTGCTGTCAGAATTGTCGATTTTATTCAAGATAACAGATAGTCACATTAATGTTGGCTCGCTTACTAAACAAAAGGTTAAAATGGACATCGCAACTGTTCTCCAACACAACCGCCAGCGCCATTAGAAGATGCTATGCATTAGGTAATGTCGTACAGGACGTATGCGAAACCGCTGATCTTTTCAAAATACTCAATGATTGGGTCGACGTCTTCAACTCAAAATGTTCATCTGCAAGTTTCATCGAGTCGACGCAGCCTTATAGCAAACAAATCGAAATTCAACGAGGCATTTTGGCTAAAATGTCTGAGATTATGAGCACACAGATAGTTGGCAAAGCCCATAAGCTGCCCTTCCAAAAAGGCATTTTAGTCAACAATGCATCCCTTGATGGTTTGTATTGCTATCTATCGGAAAAGTATGAGATACAGTACATATTAATAAGTAACATTGTTGAGAACTTTTTTGGCGCCATGAGGTCCAAAGGTGGACAGTATGACCATCCAACTCAGCTTCAGTTTAAGTATAGGTTAAGAAAATATATAACAGGTATGACAAACTTATATCAATAAATGTATACATAATTGATTTTAACAATACTAATTGTCAAATGTTTAGCTTTCTTTCAGAAAAGTTTTGATCGTGATTATTTGTATGTTTGTTGTATTTTGCGTTGTGTTTTGTTGTATGTTTATGTTTATGTTTTTCTTTAATTATTATAACTTTTGTTTATTATTTTGTTTGCATTCAGCCAAGAACACAGAACTCTTGTCCTCTAACCAAAATGTGGACGAAGACACTTCCGATGAATGGCTCAACTTAGATTTACGTTCAAAATCAGTAAACCATTTCAATGCAAAGGATGAAGAGGACGGTATCGATGAGAGTGCCGCAGCTTTAGAGGAGCTGGACGAGCTGACGGAGGACTCTATCGAATACCTAGCAGGGTACGTGGTACGAAAGCTAAAAATCGAAAATAATGTTGGCGACAAACACACTTTCACTTATGTCGACGAAGTGTCGCATGGCGGGTTAAGATAACCATCCGAATCACATAAACAAATAATTAAGCAGCTAGAATTAATTGTTCTCAAAACAGTAAGCGATACAATTAAAATAACTACCGATTTACAAAAAAAATTGTTAACGGCTGCCGAAAGCATTACTTGTAATTTAGATATAAAAACTTTCAATTTCAATATTCGTATTTACTTTAGGATTAAGACTCTTAATAAGAAAATTACGTCCAAAAAAAAAAAAAGACAACTATCATGTAGCAAACTATTAAAAATTTAATTATGAAACAAACTAAACTCGTGTTTTTTACAATGCCTTGAAATGGTTAATCAGCACACTCCATTCATGACTCCATTGCCGTTGCGCTCACACTTGCAGCGAGAACCCTCTCACTCGTACTTTTCACTCGCCCCTTCTGCTTAGTGTTGCCGACGAGACCTCCTTATAGTTTCTTCATGAACAAGGCCTCCTTATAGTTTCTTCATGATTCGAGGCCCACTACCATAAAGCAACTATGTAAAGAAGTCTCGTCGGAAAAAATTATGAACTAGTGCGAGTGAAAAGTGCGAGTGAAAGGGCTCTCTCTGTAAGTGTGAGGGCAACGACAATGGAGTGTGCTGATTAATAATTTGAAGGCAATGTGAAAAATATAATAATTGTTTCATAATTTAATTTTTAATAATTTGCTACATAATAGTAGTCTGTGTTCTGAAAAAAGAACATTTAAAAAATAATTGAAAAACAAAATTTGTCCGCAACCAACCTTCCGCGTCGACAAGCAAACGTGCACTGAGAATTGGGTAAAGCAGCGAGTAACTCTGCCACCGACGAGGCCTCCTTATATAGTTGCTTTATGCTTTATGCCCACCAGCTCATGGTGAAATCATGGTGAAATTACCAATAAACGTTTGCTATCTGTTTTTGGCGCTTGCCTCTCTGAGAGCTGAGAGAGCGTGGTGAATAAGCTGGTGCTCCTCCGACGACGTCACCTTGTTACTAATTTCACCAAGTGTTTTCTCGCTCGTGCCGTTGGTCTCCCTCTGCTTCGTTCTCCGACCACCGTGGGCTTGAACTTAAATTATTCCTTCAGAAGTTGTCTTTGCAATATAATAATGAAAATTATAAACTTACTACTAACCAAAACTTCATAATTAGCTCTCCTAAATGCTTAATAAAATATAAGACTTCCTAGTGAAAACTTAACCATATATAACAAAAAACTTCATGATACATCCAAATAGTGTCCCTGATAACTACGTTAACCCAACAGTTATAACTACTTATATCCTACCAATATTAAGCGTCGTCACAACTTCTTTCTCCACATTCGCATCAGCAAATCAAAATTTGGACAACTGACTTTAAATTTGATGCCCAATTATGGCACTAAAATCTGCATAGACCCACCGCGTACATATTATACCCGGTACTCGAAGAGTAAATAGGGTATATTGTATTTGTGCACAAAGTATGTAACACACAGAAGGAAACGTTTCCGACCCCATAAAGTATATATATTCTTGATCAGCATCAATAGCCGAGTTGATTGAGCCATGACCGTCTGTCCGTCCGTCTGTCCGTCCGTCTTGTTGAGCGCCTGGATCTCAGAGACCATAAAAGCTCATTTCGTAGGGAATGGCCATATCTATCAGATCACCAAATTTGGATCCGATTGGATCATTATTGTAGCCACAATAAAGAAATTAATTTGAAGTGGCTAAACCAACCCTGTCCCGCAGCTTTTGTTGTTTTTTCGCATTCTCTCATTCACACTCTGCTTCTGCTTCACTTGGCCCCTGCCTATGCCGTCCCCCTGCCACTGCCTCTGCCGACTATTAACCCACCCCGTCCCACAGCTTATATTTGCTTATTTTTTTGTGTGCGGGCGCTGCCTCTGCCTCTGCCGCGAGTCTGCAGTGTGTGGGTCTAGGAAAAGGCGAACGAAGCGTGTTGGTGTGAGAAGTGCTGTAGATGTAGATGACAGATGAAGAAAAAATGTTAAATTTTGACAAAACACCGCTAAGGTGCAGAGGTAGTACTAAGCGTCTCACACGTCCCTTCTCGTTTTTTTCACTTTTCGCAAACGCTTATATTTCGTTGAATTTGTACATAAAACGTGTACGAAAGTCGGCAATAAAAAACATTACTTCATAGAGATAAAAAAAACACAAACACGGTGGATGTTATGTCGGAATGGATGTGGTTCATAAGCAGATATTGGATGCTTAATCGAACAGGCCCAATCCCATGTCGTCGTCGGACACATCGGACTCTTCCTCCTTCTTCTTCTCCTCCTTCTTGGCTTCGGCGGCTGGTGCATCAGCGGCAGCGGGGGCAGCAGCACCACCAGCTAGGGCAGCACCAACTCCGGAGCCGATATTGGTGATCAGATCCCTCACGTTGACGCCCTCCAGAGCCTTAGCGAAGAGACCGGGCCAGTAGGGCTGGACCTCAACGTTGGCGGCCTTCAGGATGGTAGAGATTTTCTCACCCGTCACGGCAACAACGTCATCAATAAGGGAAGCGTAAACGCAGGCGATAACAGATGAAGAAAAAATTTTAAATTTGACAAAACATTGCTAAGGTGCAGAGGTAGTACTGAGTGCCGGGTATAAAAGTTTTTACGCATAAGAAGCCTCTCACACGTCCGTCCCTTCTCGTTTTTTGTTGTACAATTTTTTTGTGTAGTAATAAATGTGATAAATTATATTAATGCTAATGCAATTAGCATACCAACCCCATAAAGTATATATATTCATGAACAGCATCAATAGCAGAGTCGATTGAGCCATGTCTGTCTGTCTGTCCGTCTGTTCGTTCCTCCGTCCGTCTTGTTGAGCGCCTGGATCTCAGAGACCATACAAGCTAGAGCCACCAAATTTTGCATCTAGACTTCTGTATGCTCACACTGTTACAAGTGTATTTCAGAAATTAGCCATGCCCCCTTCCGCCCCCGCAAAAGGGCAAAAACCTCCCAACTCTACAATGTTGAAGATAAAAGAAAACTAAAAACGCCATTCTGTAGGGATTGACCATATCTATCAGATAAGATCAAATTGGGATCCGATTGGATCATTATTATAGCCACAATGAAGAAATTAATTTGCAGCTTTTGTTGTTATTTTTACATTCTCTTACTCACACTCTGCTTCTGCTTCACTCGGACTCTGCCTCTGCCCTCCCCCTGCCTTTGCCTCTGCCGACTTTAACCCACCCCGTCCCGCAGCTTATATTTGTTTTTTTTTTTAGTGTGCGGGCGCTGCCTCTGCCTTTTGCCGCGAATCTGCAGTGTGTGTGTCTAGGAAAGGCGGCGAGCTAAAGGAGCGTGTTGGTGAGAGAAGTGTAGATGTAGATGACACATGAAGAAAATATGTAAAATTTGACAAAACACCGCTAAGGTGCAGATGTAGTACTAAGTGCCGGGTATAAAAGTTGTGACGCGTAAGAAGCGTCTCACACGTCCCTTTTCGTTTTGATTTAAATAATTCGTTTATTCCCTTCCCCTCCCTAGCGGGATTTTAATTACTCCGCGTAAGCAACGCTTTGGCGCTGTTTTAAGTGGCCGCCGTCTGCCTGGTACTGTGCGCCGTCTTCCCTCTCGCTTGCTTTCTTAGCGGCGGCAAAAGCTCCGGCGAAACTCTCTGTCGCTCCAGCTGACAAATTCAAATGGCCGAGCCTCCTCTATGGCTTGCTTATGTGCCGGTTTTTTTGTGGCCCCAGCTGGTACTTATAGCGGGCGAGTCTCCTCTAATGCTTATCTAGTCGTACATATGCATAAAGGCGGGCAAAAGTTCAGTATTAGTATCGCCTTTTCTTATTGTTTTTCCCCCCGCGTCCCTTACCTAATCGATGCCTTGCGGCTCTCGCAGGCTAGTTGGTCTAGCAGCTCGATGGTGGTCTAACTTGGCGGTGTAAATTTAACTTAAACTGCACTTAAACACTTGGAAAAAAACTTTCTTGGCCTCTGAAACTCTTTTAGTTGATAGGGATACAGATCTAGGTCTATTCGAAATTTGCTTTCGAACTCGCTCTCCTTTTGATGAACTTGTCTCTGCATTCTCTGCTCTCCATATCATTTCTAATTCTCTTCCTCCGCTAATTTCTAAAGAGAACTATGCCCGTATTTATACTCCTGGCAGTGCCTATTTTGCGGCGGATCCGAAAAACAAAAGCAGCTACACGACTCACCGTACATAATATTCCGATGGTCGATACAAAGTCTTTACAAGAGTAAATTTCCATTTTTATATGATCGCCTGAACCGTCTAAACGAAAAATTCTCGGCCAATAGACTCGACAAATTTAGTGCCGCGGAAATCGATGTGAAGCTCGATATGCTTACTGAAATCCGCGAGAAATTTAAATAGATCCCACAATGAGCTGGAATTGCTCGAGTAAGAATAGATTGGAAGTGAGCTGCGCGAAACCTTCTATACGCTATTGATTTCAGTGAAGGCTGAGCTGCTGGCTGCTCTCTAGCCTGGCTACTTGCGCGTATCTGCTCATTCGACCACAGTTCCAAACCATTCTGGAAATCACACCCTCATCATGGCTCACAAACAGAGGCTTCCTGGTTTAAAGCTCCCTAGCTTTTCTGGTGGCTACGTTGAATATGCGGACTTCGTTGCCATGTTCAACTAGGTCATCGAAGCGGATGCCGATCTCAGTGACATCGATAANCTGGCTAGAAAAGGTATAGCACTAACAGCCAAAGACGAGCGAGAAGCCTTAGCAAACCTGAAAAAAGATCTCAAGACGTCTTTAGAATATGGGCTAGAGCTGAATTTTAAAAAGTCACATTTTTTACAAACACGAATCCAGTTTCTTGGCCATATTATCGAGAACAAGAAGCTATAGCCGACACCATTGAAGATTGAAACCGTTTCGAAGTTCAAGACGCCGCAGACCCTGAAACAGCTTCTGAGTTTTTTGGGTCTTGCAGGATACTTTAGAAAGTTTATCTACAATTACGCGGTGATAGCCAAACCATTGACTGACCTAACGAAGAACAATGCAAAGTTTGTAATTTCGAACTCGCTCTCCTTTTGATGAACTTGTCTCTGCATTCTCTGCTCTCCATATCATTGCTAATTCTCTTCCTCCGCTAATTTCTAAAGAGAACTATGCCCGTATTTATACTCCTGGCAGTGCCTATTTTGCGGCGGATCCGAAAAACAAAAGCAGCTACACGACTCACCGTACATAATATTCCGATGGTCGATACAAAGTCTTTACAAGAGTAAATTTCCATTTTTATATGATCGCCTGAACCGTCTAAACGAAAAATTCTCGGCCAATAGACTCGACAAATTTAGTGCCGCGGAAATCGATGTGAAGCTCGATATGCTTACTGAAATCCGCGAGAAATTTAAATAGATCCCACAATGAGCTGGAATTGCTCGAGTAAGAATAGATTGGAAGTGAGCTGCGCGAAACCTTCTATACGCTATTGATTTCAGTGAAGGCTGAGCTGCTGGCTGCTCTCTAGCCTGGCTACTTGCGCGTATCTGCTCATTCGACCACAGTTCCAAACCATTCTGGAAATCACACCCTCATCATGGCTCACAAACAGAGGCTTCCTGGTTTAAAGCTCCCTAGCTTTTCTGGTGGCTACGTTGAATATGCGGACTTCGTTGCCATGTTCAACTAGGTCATCGAAGCGGATGCCGATCTCAGTGACATCGATAAGTTACAGCATCTTCGCTCCTCTCGGATGTGACTTTGGATTCGGTTCGATCGTTGGAGCTTTCCAGTGACAATTATAACAGGCGTCTTGTTTCCAGGCACACATCAAGGAGATTCTTAGGCTCAATAAGGTAGATTCGCCTTTTGCTAAAAGGCTACGAGAGTTTTCGGAAGCAATCAACCTGCATACGCGTGCCCTGCACTCAACCAACTGGGAGGAGACTTCTACGATTTCCTGCAGAAACGATGCCAGAAAATGGAGAACGTGCAATACGCTATATGACACCCACTGGTAGCGCTCAGGTGGGTAAAAGCCATACCTTTGTTGCCTCTAATAGGGCCACGGAATATACACAAATCACAAATCTGTCGCCTTTCCTTCGCCACAAGGAAGTGAAGAAGCATTAACTGCATTAAATCGGGGCATCGGACACATGCATGCACAGGTGGCCAATGTAGAGTAAGGCTCCCCAGCTGTATCTAATCCAGAACGACCACTACAATTAGGAGTTATTCCGACTGTTCAGAATTCTGCACGGAGTGCGCCGTCCCATGCATCTACCTCTCTTGCTGCAAAGGTCTTCACTCTAATGTTGTGCTTCTGGCTTTTTAGTTCCTTTTCGTGCCATCCTCGATTTCGAATCACAATGGCATCTCGTCACATCCAGGTTCGCCCAGCAGCTGCAACTTAGGAGAGCTCTATCCTCTGCTCTTGTCTCTGGGTTGGACGATACTAGCGTGTCCACAGAAGGATCCTCCGTGTGCATTTGCATGAAGTCTCGCACTTCGGAGTATTCGACCAAACTTATTGCTCTTATCGCCCCCACAATCACCGATTGCCAGCCGAGGTTGGCAGTTAATGCAGCCGATTGAAACATTCCCACCAACATTCAGCTTGCCGATCATGCATTTTTCCATCCCAAGCGGGTAAATCTCTTCATCGGTTCGAGCATATTCTACGATCTTCTCTGCGTAGGGCAAATCAAGTTCACCGATCAATTGGCTCTTCTACAGAAGACAAGGATGGATCTATCAGGCGATGGAATGCCTAAGACGATGAACAAATTTGTGTATGTACATAAAAATACATACAGAAGCCACCATCTGGAGAGTATTTAGTTCGACTTCCGTTAGAGTATGTTGACCGCTTAGGAGAATCTTACACTCAGGCTTATCGACGATTTCTTAGTTTGAAACGAAAACTGAGCGTAGCCGCTGCAAGTATTTGATGCCTCATCACTGCGTCTTGAAGGAGGAAAGTACCTCAACAAAGCTCCGTGTCATTTTCGATGGCTCTGCATCTACATCAAATGGACTTTCGCTAAATGATGTGATGATGACAGGCCCTTTTATTTAGCCTGCCGTGTTTAGCATACTGATTCGCAGGAGGTACTTGAAGTAATGCCTGAGGAAGACCGAGAAGTTTCTAAGATTGCACGATGGAAGCGACATAACCAAAACTCTTGGTTTATCGTAGGACCCTGCACCGACACTGTCTGGGTTGGACACAAATTCAAAGTCCTCAAGGCGTTTGGTTCTGTCAATAATTGCGCGTTTCTACAACCCAATTAGATTGATTAATCCTGTTATTGTCAGATGCAAGATTTTCTTTATCAGCTTTGGAGAAAACAGTTGGATTGGGATGAAAGCCTCCACTCGTCGTTGTTTGCGACTTGGAAGGATTTTAGATACAGTTTGGCAAGCATATTTCGCATTTCGTTTCCTCGAGGGGCCCATCATTGTCGGATCCCTGCAGATGCTCACGGTTTGTGCGGGCAGACGTCGAGCAATGTCTTGTGCTCAAAGTCTCGCGTGGCGCCGCTTAAATCAATATCGCTTTCAAAGCTGGAATTAAGTGGAGCCCAGT